AAAAAAAAAAAAAAAAACAGTTAGGCATAAAGCAGAAAAATCTTTTCTGACAATCCAGGGCTAGTTTGTTAACAAAATTATAATGCCATGGTAAATTGAAAAAATTTTAAAAACTGACTAGAAAAGGAAGTGATAATTTCCGACGGCTTAAAAGTTAAAATTAGACCGGAAAAACAAGTAATATACGGCGAATTGTCAGAAATTGTTTTGACTAATTTTTGCGATAGTTTGGAGGCTACTTTGGATCAAAATGGGAGTTATCATTTATTTCCTGATTTTGCTAAATATCAAGATTTTGACGAATTATTTAACGGACGAGTTATTTTCGGCAAGAAAACTAACCAACGAGAGATAAAAAATAACGATTACGATTTGTTAAAAAAAATATTTGGAGACTGAAAGGAACAAGAGAAAGTGAAAGAATGAGAAGAATTTAGTAAGGAATTGACCCTAATGGTTTGTCCCGAAAAATTGTTTGATGGGGAAAGTTATAGTTACCGGGAGTTGTTATTAGAAAAAGTGGGCGAGTTGGCTAAAAGAAATGCCGAACGGGAAAATAAATTGAATGGGCAACCGCCAGGTAAAGAAAAGCAGGATGAGAAATCAGCCCAAAGAGCGGTAGAGGAAAAAAATAACGAAATTTTACAATTAAAAAGACGTTTGGAATTGTTGGAGGAGTCACGGGCAGAGATGGTGAGTGCGAGAGAAGGAGAAATTGAAGAATTGGAAAAGAAATTAAAAAATAAGAATGAGGAGGTAAAATGACTACAAGGACAGTTAAAAAATGCTCTCGGTGAGGAGCAATATAATTCGCAAATTGTAGTTAATTATCCACCCCAATGAAAAAAATAAATCAATAAAAATAAATAATAATAATATCATATGGCAGTAGACTTTAAAAAACAAATTAGAAGTGAAATCACATTTTACGAATTTACGAAAGAAATCTATAATTTTTGAAAACAAAAAGGAGCAAGTGAACTTAACGGTGTTGATTTGAAAGCCACTGATGCTTTTTGTAATGGCACAAAAGAAAGACTAAAAAAAGAAAATGAATTTAAAAAAATTTACATCGCTCTTAACAAAATTTACGCGAAGAATAATACGCAAT